TTTTAAAAGCAAAATTTCTTATCTAAAGATACAATACAAAACAAACATTTTTTCTTCAGTCACAAAGCAAATACTCACTCTCTCTCTCTCTCTCTCTCTCTCTCTCTCTCTCTCTCTCTCTCTCTCTGTGTTTCTGGAAATTGAATCCAAAGTTTTGCATGTGCTAGGCATGTGCTCAACCACTGAGCTACATCCCAGGCTAAGCATAAATATACTTTTAATTGCAAGTGTAGTCTGCTTCTTATATAGACAACTCTATGCATGTTTCAAGATGATAGATGATGGAATTTTTACTTGAAGTTATTTTGAGAAAGGACTTTACTACAAAACATTATAACAATAACCTGCTTTCTACAACAGACTCAGTGATTGATGCATTAAACTTGTTAATCCATTATTAGTGTGTCTCATTTTACCTGAGGCTTATATATCACAGAGCAAGGCCTCCCAAGAGGCTAGAYTTAAGAACTGCTTAAGTTTTTAATTGCAATCAAAGCTAGGTTGGTTTTGGGCAGTTGGGAATTTGTGAGGGCACCAAGTACATTGTTCACTGTGAACGTGGCAAAATAAAGAAGGGTCAGAAAGGGAAAAGGGATTCAAACACTAACTTCATCTGTCTTTGAGTTTGCCCAAAGATAGCCCTTTTCTGGTATCTCCCCACTAACCAAAAAAGAAGGCAGGTGAGGTTTCTTTCAAAATACAGTTTCTGGATTAGAGTGTTTAAATTTGTTTTTATTTAAACCTGTAAATTTCAAGTAAATATCTGTTCTTATAAATACTATTTGCCATGAAGTGAGTGAAAGAAATATTTTTCTTCTTTTATCATTCAATATAGCGAGGAAGCACAGTATGATTTTTTTTTAAAAAATCTCTCTCTCTCCTTTTCCCAGGCATCCATTCCCAGAATTCTATTGTCTTGTGTTATTTCTTTTTTACTTTGTAGCAATAGTAGCAGCAGTTCTTGAGAGGAACAAGTAAGTCATTGGCCATATATGCAAAGCACAAATTCCTACAGGCAAGATGAGTGGCACAAACAAGAGGTGATATTTTTCAGTTTTTTTTTTTTTTTTTAAAAACAGCCACCAATGAATGCAATCTGATTCATTTCTCAAATTGCACCTGAGAACACAAACTTCCATCACTGAGTGAACTTTGTCTGCAGAGTTCCCTTAATCAAGGCATTCAACATAGGTCTGTGTTGAAAGTTTGAGGAGAAATTTTTCAACTAGTGTTTATATTATGACAACAAAAGAAACTAAGATACTTATAAAATGAATCACATCATTTGCTTAAAAGTTAACATTAAGGTAAATTTGGAAACTTCAGTTAAAAATAATTATTTGAGCTAGATAATTCAGTTTATGATTATAAAGTATTATCTATAGTCCGATTCCCCAGACCTTTTTTTTTTTTTGCTTTAATCTTTATAATTTCTTTTAAAGTTCAATTTGTTGCACCTTGCAAACTTCACTAATGAACATAAAAAAGAGGATCTTCATGTCTTCATTTGGTTCATAATTATTCCTTTTTAAATACTCTTCACTCTCATTTAGAAGAGGAGGCTAATTCAGTTGGAATCTTGGTATGAATAGGAATTATTGGAACAGCCCATTTGAAGATTTTGTTTTCATTAATTTCCTGTAGGTTAATAAAGATGTAGTTACTGTCCTATTTTGCAAACAAAACAACCCAAATCCAATATCTTCATTGATGACAATTTCTGGTCAATGTTATTTAGGTTACTTYATCTTCTCATCCAATAATTTTAGTTTGGAAAGAGATAGCAAAAATATTTTCATCTTTTTGGAGGCATTGGCTCTTTTTGCTTCAGTATATTTTGGCTTCTCTTTTCTCTCTGCTTTCTTCAGATGAACTTTCACTCTGGAGATTTCTTCCAAGGAAATATCTACGAGAATTAAGACGACCCTGAGGCCAGGGAAATGGCTGGAAGTGGAAACGGTGGTTGCATCCTGGAGGGAGAAAATGTCTGTTTTGAAACCCAGGATAGATTCTAGGCCTTCTTTGTGTAATACGACTGAAGGGATATTTGGGTGTCCTAGTAATGGGCTGGACCCTTGTTGTCGGATTCCTCGTGGTGGGTGGAGGGGTGAGTGTGAAGATCTGGCAGTCTGTAGGGTTTATATGTTGTGAGCCTCCTGGTGGGATGACAACCTCTTCTTGTCCTGTAAGGAGGAAAATAGGAGTCAGAAAATAGGCCTGGTAACAGAAACAGAAGCAAGATAGATCCTTGAATGTGGGTGCAGGGGAGAAAGATAGAACAAGAAATAGAGATGTCTTGGAGCATGTTGGAAACAAGGTCAATAAAATGAAATGTGGGTACACCTTATAATCCAGCATTTCCACTCAATGGAATTGACCCAAGTTTTTATTTGCAAAAGTTTGCAAAAACAAACAGACAAAAAAAAAAACTAGTTCAAGGATGTTCATAGCAAACTTTTTCATTATAGCCTAAACTTGGAAACAATCCAGGTGTCCATCAATAGAAARGTTAAATAAACTGTGTATATTCATACAATGAAAAGTACTCATTGTGGAAAAGGAAAATCTACTAATGCGCACAGTAATATGGATGAATCTCATGGATATTATGTTAAGCAAAAGAAGTTGGACACAAAAGAGGATACATATTGCAAAAGAATACAGCAAGTGAAACTGTGGTAAAAGAGTCAAATAGTATTGAGCTCAGGGTTAGGGTAGGAATTGTTTAGTGGAAAGAGTAACCAGCAAACTCTCAAAATGTTCTGTATCTCAATCTGGGTGGTTTTCTAAATGGGACTATCTACGTCTCACACATATACACACATACATATAGATGTGTAAGTATACACACACATATAAATCTCTATACATGATGTATGTTTGCACACATACACATATATGTATGTATATATAAAATATAATAAGCTGTAACTTTAAGATTTGTGGAATTTATTAGGTGTAAATTATAACAAAGAAAATTCATGAGAAAAAAAATTTTTTTTAATATTTATTTTTTAGTTCTCGGTGGACACAACATCTTTGTTGGTATGTGGTGCTGAGGATYGAACCCGGGCCGCACGCATGCCAGGCGAGTGCGCTACCGCTTGAGCCACATCCCCAGCCCCGGAAAAAAATTTTTAATGTTAAGAATATAAAAATAACATTAAAATTTCTTTTTCCCTGCTCAGTCAGTAAAGTCATTCCTTAGGAAAGGAGGGGCATCTATAAGCAGCAGAAGAAAGARTGCTGAGGACCAGGACACCAATTCATTTTTAAGAAGAAATGTGGTTAGGTTCCAGCTTCAAGGTCTTCCCTTGACTAAATCACCCATCCAAGTTGGCAGTGTAAAGGAAGTTTTCCTGTAGTGAATTGTTTCTTCACTCCTGCAGAAGCTCACCCACACAGGCCTGGGAAGGAATGCCAGGCATGGGTGATGGAAACATGAACCATCACAGGAAGCTGAGAGTGCAGATGCATTTAAGAACTAGATTTCCTGCTTTCTGGGCTGTAGTGGATATGCTTACATAGTTCCTGTGCCCATAGTTCCTTCCAAATACTGTCTTATCTACAACCTGTGGAATGGTCCATCTTTCACACCTTCTGACTATGGCTGATTGGATTGCGGATAGACCCTAATTTATTGGCTAGTCAATGATGAATTGGATCCTCCCTTAAGAATTAATTATAGCAAAAAAGACATAGTGAAAGCTGTTACTGGAAGGCAGGGGCTGGAGTGTCAGGCTTTGGACAGATGAATGATGAGAAGCATAGATGCCAGGATGGATACAGAAGCAGTGAACTGGGGAAGGCGAGAGAGAGAGAGAGAGAGAGAGAGAGAGAAGACTATATGGTAACAGTGCTTGCTGATGGGACTAGCCTTGGTTCTTGACTTTCCAGGGTTAGTCCCTCTGAGGCTCGGCTGATTATACTTAAGGTTCTTGAAGATATCCTTATAATGATCACTCCACCTCCAACTCTATTCTCTCTGTTTTATTTATTTTTTGGTACTGGGGAGTGAACCAGGATCTTGCATGTGCTCATGCTCTACTACTGAACTCTTGCTCTACTCTTTTTAAAACTAGCTTGAATGGGTATCCATACCTTGAATAAAATGCCAACYCTTTCCCCATACCCAGTCAGGATATTGAGTTGTAATCCTGTGATGAAATTAGACTAACAAACACACTTTGAGCTTCATAAGATGAYGAAACCCCACATTACTGTTTGTGATAAGTTTTGAATCTTTGTGACATGAAAACTTTCTACCCAGAATCTAGTCAGCAGGGGAGATGCCAGCCTCATTATTAATCCCCATTTTGACATTTTGCTATAAAATGAAGCTTAACTAGGCCTTGCACTCTGCTATTTATTAAACCACTCCAGCTGTAAAACAATCAACACACCTGCCCATTGGGTCCATCTCATTTCTTGAAACCTGAATAGGCTGTGGGATTTCCAGTAGTATCTAGTGTTCTTTCTGGGAATTCCCAAGGATTCAAAATCAAGGAACAAGCTTGCCCCAACCACCCACTCAAGAATGTGGGCAGGACCATGTAAAAATGCATTCTTCTAGMCAATTATACACAGGGTCATTATCTGCTTGGTAGCACATGTGTTCTAAAATGTGGGACCACAGGGACTGATTTGGGACCCCGTTACATCTTACAAAGTTAAGGAAGGCCACACATCTGAGTGATATTTTTCATGACTCTATCTTTGGCTGAGTTAGCTCTGTTCATTATTCTTTTCTTTATCCTTGTTCTGCACTGTTCATACTGTCTTYATAATCTTTGCTATCTCCTCAAATCTCCTTCAAAAATTTCACATTTGAAGAATTATCTGTACCTTTATCTTTTAAAAATTGTTTTGTTTACACATATTTTTTAGTTGTTGATGGACCTTTATTTTACTCGTTTATAGGCGGTGCTGAGAATTGAACCCAGTGCCTCACACAWKCTAGGCTAGTGCTCTAACACTGAGCTATAATCCCAGTCATCTCTGTACCTTTCTAAGTAGATTATTTAGCTTCATATTGCAGACAGAAAACTGAGGTGCTCTGCCATGAACTTTGGTTCCTATTTCTTCTCTTTAAAGAAAAATTTATATGCTACATAACTATTTAATCCTTTGGAATCTGACTCTGTATCTTCTACTCCACCAAAGCTACTTTGGAAAAAGTCATTAATAGTCCTGAGCTTCTAAAAAGTTAATTCTAGGTGCCTAAAGTACTATTTTCTGCCCTACTTTCCTGGATTTCCTGTTAGAATTCCAAGTTTGGTCTCATCAGGGAAGACTTCCCTACCTGGAGCTGCTGAATGTCCCTGGCAACCTACTTGCATAGCATCCGGTGAATCCACTCGCATAATACACATCAATCGTGTGATTACCATTCAGTGGTAATGGTAATCCTGCTCCCATGAAATATCTACGTGAACATCTTGTAGACGGCAGTCTCAACCCTAGCCCCGTGCCTGCAGTAGAAATGAACTGAGCTAAAGAAATCTATTTTTACAATTGGAAAAGTTACCATGTTCCTACCTCTYAGGGACAGCGTGATGATTAATAAGCATTTGATAACATTGACATGCCATCAAAGTATACTGAATGACAAAGATGAGAGTTTTCCAAGTGTAATGAGACCAGAGTAGGTCAAACGTTTGATATACATTACAAACATGTCAGGAGGCAGAGAACATAGTGTTGAAAAGCTTGGGCTCCCTCCCTGAGTTCTGTAACTGTGTGACTATAGACAGATTCCTTAACCTCTATGAGTCTTTTCCCTGATTTGTAAAAGGGAGAAAATAATACTACATATCTCATAACTTGTGAATTTATCTAAGATGTATAAAGTGTTCAGAGTATTGCCTGACACATGGTATACATTTAGTGTTAGMTATTATAATTAATAATCATGAATATTATGAATTATTATTAATCATGAACATTATGAAAAGATTCTATTAGCATGAGCCCATCTTAGGCCCATCTGGTTATATCTCGTAGATTATCTCTGCATTAAGGACAGGACAAAAGAATACAGATGTAATAAGAATAGGCCTTCACTGGGCATGGTGGCACACATCTGTAGTTCCAGTAACTCTGGAGGTGGAGGCAGGAGGATTGCAAGTTCAAGTCCAGCCTCAGCAACTTAGCAAGATCTTCAGCAACTTAGTGACACCCCATTTCAAAATAAAAAGAGTTGGAGGTAAGTTCAGTGATAAGTGCTCTGGGTTCAATTCCCAGTACCAATAAATAAATAGATGGAAGAAAGAAAGGAAGGAAGGAAGGAAGGAAGGAAGGAAGGAAGGAAGGAAGGAAGGAAGGAAGGAAGGACTTCCAAGAAATAATTGTTGACTCACAGTCACTGCCAATATCCTTAGCACCTAGAATAGTTCCTGGTTTACAGGTGTGATCAATAAAACACTTGATGAGTTCAATGAATTGTCGAGCAGACACTGAATTTTCCTCTGATATTTTTGTGGCACTCAGTGTTTAAATCAAGTTTCAGAACATTTGATATATTTAAAATTTGAGCATAATTTGAAAGTCAAAATATTTCTTGGAATTTGGATATCACTTTTAAATGGGTTTATTATTGTCTAGACATGAAATTCATAGCATACCAACAACCAGCACTTTTTAAAAAGGGTAATGAGGAGAAGATCTTTGTTGTAATTACCTCTACTCTGTGGTTATTTGGGCAGACAATAGCTGGTTTGTAGTGAACTATACTGGTTCTTAGAGAAGTAGGCTTTGTACTTGGAGTTTAAGTATACAGTATTCCATTACAGTGCACATGGATTCTTAGAAGAATTCTCATATGCTTTCAGAGTTGAACCCAAAAGAAATATAAGTTCTGAGTTTATTTAATTTTCTCACGATAACTGCAGCTCCGTTCATTTTGTGGATTCACAAAATGACTGGCTATTGTGGTCAAATCTGTAATTTTAAAGATATAGAATTTGGAGCCCCAAGGGTGTTCCACAGGCCTCTTTCAATTCTGTGCTATAAGTCAAGTCATTTYAACAGTGTTCAGGTTACCGTGAGAGATGCTGTGCACATACAGAGATGGTAAGGACGCAGCCCTGCACCAGAGAAATGCAGTGATGCTGTAGATATCTAGATCTGCACTACAGAGTGGAAAGCTGAATCTATGTGGGTGATGTACAGATTGCTTTAAGAATTCAAAGGTATATGTGTGTGTGTGAGTGTGAAAGAGAGAAAGAGATTGCAATTTTTAAAAAAAGKTTTTTTTTGTAGTTGTAGATGGATAGCATGCCTTTATTTTATGTATTTTTTTTAATGTGATCCTGAGGATTGAATCCAGTGCCTCACACATGCTAGGCAAGTGCTCTGCCACTGAACTATGGCCCCAGCCCCAGAGATTGCAATTTTAAAATTATGTGTCTCAAGAAAGATTTTGTGAAGGTGAAATTAGGGTGGCATTTAAATGTTGAGACTTGAAGCAGAATTTCAATAAACAGGTGTGAAATCAGGAAGAGGGAGCAGCCACAGCCATTGCCATGGARGAGAGAGAAAAGAGGATAAGTTTGAAGAGCCACACATGACCCTGTCTGGTAGACACTGAATATGTATAAGTGAATGACAAACAGGAGCCAGTGCTGGGATAGAGTGAAGTTAGATGGGAAGGTCTGCCCAATTCAGAAACCAAATCTCACATTTCAATTGATATCTTTTATTATTTAGTTATTTATTTTTGTGTTACTGGGGATTGAACCCAGGGCTTCACACATGCTCTCTAAGCACTCTAGCAACTTAGCTACATACCCAGACCTTTTTGAATTCTATTTGGAATCAAAGTCCCACTAAATTGCTGAGGCTGGCTTTATACTTGCTGTCCTCTGCCTCAGCATCCCGAGTCATTTGGATTATAGGCCTGGGCCACTGTGCCTGGAATTGCTGTCTTTTATATATGACTAAAAAGAAGCTCTAATGTCATTRTAACTTGTTTACGTATTTACAAAGCCTCCTGAAAAGTGGAGAAGGTGACAAAATTGTCTCAATGATTACACATTACTCATAAACTGGAAAGATGGAGGTAGGGGGGYGCAGTACCAGGGATTGAACTCAACTCAGGGTTCCTTGACCACTGAGCCACATCCCCAGCCCTATTTTCTATTTTATTTAGAGATAGGCTCTCACTGAATTGCTTAGCACCTTGCTTTTRCTGAGGCTGGCTTTGAACTTGCCATCCTCCTGTCTCAGCTAAATCTGTTTTTTAATGCGTCTTTTACATATTACTTTTAGTAAGAAATAACTGGGACTTTGCCTTGGGGATTGGGAGCAAGTGATATTTATAATCTATGTCTTCTGATGGTCTGAGTTTTGTAGACATTAATAAGGGAATTTCTGGGTGTCCTACAACCAGCTCTGAGGGCTATACTCATGTCTAATTTGTCATGAGCAAGGATGCTATTGAGGGATGAGTAGGGTTTGCCTGAGCCCCAGCAGAGTTCCCCACACCAGGGCACAGGAGGGGGTGAAGCATCTGCTTGACTCCATTTTCTCCTTCCTGAACAGCAACTGCGATGAACTGTATGTGGGGGGAAAAATGCTAAATTTAGGGCCTCCAGGATCTCTTCCTCCTTCCTTTCCCCTTTTTCTTTCTTCCCTCTCCTTCYTTACCGGTGTGTATACACACCAATTCTAAGGCTGGATATTTGGTAGTGGGGAAAAGGAGAGAGAATTGAAACAGTGGAGAAATTAATCTCAAATAATCCTAAAACCTGTATTCACCTCGAAAGCACTAAGACACAGATCACTAGATGTGATTAATTTAAGCAATTAACAGAGACTGAACACCAGCCTTGTACAAATTACTGCACAGCTAGAGATGGAGAGAAGAGGACCGCACTGCAATTCAAGGTAGAAATTGTTAGCTTCATGACAATAATGAGTGCTTGTGCAGTTTTTAGTGTGAAGAGCTTTTCACATACAAGCTCACCTGGTCCTTTCAACCCCCATAGCAATGCATGTTATTAAGACAGTCAATTCACATCGAAGGAGTCTGATGCTCAGAGARGTTTTCGAGTATCAAAGTCACAAAGCTAGAGCTGAGATTAGGATCCAAGTCTTCAGATGATAAAATATATCATTCTCTTTAAGCACACAGGCTGATGGAAGCAGATAGAAACATTTTCAGCTTATTGGAATGTGTAATCACAGAGCCAGTTTTATCTTTTCAGATAGCTTATTAATTAATGAGCCCACAGGAGAATAAAACCCAAACCCTTACCTTCTGCCACAGCTACTACCAACCAGCAGACCAGTGACCAGGAGGAGAAGCAGGGTCTGTGAGCCATGGTTTCTACCTTGAACTCTCACTGCCTCCAACCCCAATGTTGCTTTAAATGGGAGTTGGTGAGTCACCAGCAGCCTGATTCAGGTAATTTGCATTTGCATAGTGGACCACAGCTATCTGGGCCTGTGGTGTGAGGGCAACAAATCCGTAAGGACATACCAGACAGCATGTATCAACTAGAAGTGTCTTGTTATGACAGCCAAGCATCATTCATCATGCCTTGATTTTGGACAACCACATCCTTGCTATCCTTTTAATCCCTCAAATCTACTCCCACGGTGGTGCCTTCTCTTTACCAGCGTGTATGAGTCTTCCTCTGCAGGAAAAGGGAGCTGTCTAGGCAATGCTCAACACTGCTTCCCACTCTGGAGCTGACTGAGGGCGGAGGGCACTGTCATGGGGCTTCCTGACCCAGTGGGATGGGGGTGTTAAGAAGCTCCTCTTTGTTTCTGACCAGAGTTTATGATCCTTCTCTGCTTTTGTCCAGGATGCAAGGGCAGCATAGTCAGAAAACTATCTATCTTCCTTTGTCTCCATCACAGTCTCTGTTTAAATATCATGAAAGCCTGGGAGCATAACTTAGTAAGCTGTCCTTTCAGGTTTCCCTCTAATTCACCAAAATGCCTACAAGATGGACATGGTGTACCTATACCTGGTTGATTTCCTGAGAAGACTGTCAGCTGATGGGGGAATGGGAGGTGGTGCTCACGAGTGATTAAGAATCTGGACCTCAGAGTTAGAAAAACTCCCATCTTGACTCCTTTTCTTACTAGTGGAGTTGCAATGGTGAGTCTCTGAGGCCTTAGGTGACTGATCTGTAAAGTGGGGTTTGCAATACTGTGTCAGTTTTTGTTGCTGTAACAAAATATCTGAGAATCAACTTATAAGAAGTAGAAGTTTATTTTGGTTCACAGTTTGGGAAGCTCCATTGCTTTGGTTAGTGGGCTCCATTGCTTTGGGCCTGGGGTGAGGCAGGGAGCGTGTGATGGAGCAAAACTGGTCACCACAAGATATAGGGGAAGCAAAGAGGGAGAGAAAGAGGGCCGGGGTTCTAGTATATCACTTGCATCCCTCAGTGATCATTCTTCTATTACTATCTTCCCCAAAAGTTCTACCACCTTCCAATAGTGCCATAGGCTGGTGACCAAACCTTTAACACATGGGCCTTTGGGAGACATTCAGGATTCAAACTATGGCAAGTGCTTCCTTAGAGGAGTGTGAAAAAAGGGGATAGTTGACATAAAGCTTCAACCACAGAGGCAGGCCTGTGAAAGGAGGGAGTGTTTGTGGTGGTTATCAAATTATAATAACCCTAATTTATAATTAATTTTAGGAGGTTATACTTGCCAAATCATCCAGTCACTCAAATGACCTCCACTTTGAGCAGAGCATGTCCCGGCACATTGTAGAAAAAGCAAAATTAAATATACTTCCCAGCTTTGAAGGGCAGTATAAGAAATCTGCAAGGATAATCTAATGAGGTACCAATCATTCCATCATTCAATCAGGATAAATTAGAAGGCAAACACTCACAATAAGGAAGTGATGAATTCCTCAGGCAAAGTTCTAGAATGGATAATTTTTTTGTTATTTTGTTATTTTTTTTTTTGAGTTTTATCTTTTTTCCCCCTCTATATGCTATCCTGGGTGATCTCTAACTCCTGGGATCAAGTGATCCTTCCTCCTTAGCCTCCCAAGTTGCTGGGATGATTGGCCTGTGGTGCCACACCTGGTTAGATCAGATAATTAAGTGATAACTTGTCAGCAGTTAGAAATGGAATCACAAAACATTCAGGACAGGCTCGGTTCATTGGATCAACCCACTTCAGGACTCTTTATTGACTCTATTTATTCAAAGGCCAGACACGGGTCAAGGGGTGGGGGCTTACATTAGTGTTCCTTCCAGTCTGGCAGGGACATTAGATATTAACCCAGGAGTAACATGAAGAGTTTTGAGTGTTATGAGAGAAGAAGTATGCCAGCTATAGGAGCATGAAGCACAGAAACATCATCTGTAATTTTACAACTGTGAGTGTATTATATGGTCTGTCTGGTGCCCTGTGCTGGAGACATATTGCTATGCCAGTAAAACTAGATCCCACCTAATTACTTACCTACTGCACAGTGTTTCGTTTTATAGGTCCGCGGTAATTTATTTAGCCAACCTTTTACTTGACAGACATTTGTATTATTTCTTTTGAAGTTTTTTCTTTTCTTTTTCTTTTTTGTGATACTGGAGATGAAACCCAGGGATGCTCTACCACTGAACTACATCCCCAGACCTTTATTTATTTATTTTTGTTTTGAGACAGTCTTGCTAAGTYGCTGAGGCTGGCCTCCAACTTTTTATCCTCCTATCAGTCTCCTGAGTCACTGGGTTTGTGCCACCACTCCTAGTTTGTTTGTTTGTTTGTTTGTTTCTTTTTTTCCTCTCTAACAAAAACAAAGTAACATATTTTCTATTTGCCACTATTATTCTGAAATTTATAAAACAAAGGAACAAAATCTTTAAGGCACAAAATTCATTAGTGCATTTATATTCTTATTTAAATAACTCATTTGTTTTATGTCCTCTGGCTTAACCTGTGAGGAACAGCTCTTTTTTGTCAGTACAATTTAGAAAGTCCTTGGGAAGAACTCTGGTTGGCCAAGCTGGGTCATGTGGTTGGGTATGRAGGAGGGATGAGTTATTACAAGGAGGATTAGGAAATGGTAGCAGTGACTCTGTCACAGGTTCTGTTAGTTTGTGTGTAGTATACCTATGCTGTCATGTGACCTCCCCGCACAAATAATCAATCTGCAGTATGTGTTTGTTACCCAGAACGCCTTTCAACAAGAATAAAACAATCCATGTTGTGAAAAATAAAAAAGAGCACTTTTTATTATTTGCTGCTTGGGGTTGCAATAAACATAGCAATACCTATGATGCTATTTTATGAGGGAGGATACCAGGAAATAGTTGTTGGTGACTGAAGGGTCTTCTGATTTAGACAGATTTGGCAGGATAACTTGTTCTAAACAAATGTCAAGATGAGATTATTCATTGGTTTCAGTCTGTCTAGTGTTTGTATCTATATCACCTTGACCAAATATTTTCAATGCACTGTCSTGGTACATACTATAACAGAAGGAATACTAATCTAAAAAGGTATTGTTGAACTTTTAAAGAAACTTGTCTCAGGTTTCCAACCTAGAGAAGTAGAGCACCTGGCACTGAGGAGGTTTGTCTTGGGTATGCGAACTTCATTCATTCAAGTTACTTCCTGGGTGCTCATGATATTCCAGGCACTTGGGGTCTAGACAAAAATACTTGGTCCAATGGAGTTAGCAGTCTAGTATGTGGTCACAAAGAATAAATAATAAATATAACACAGGAATAAATTATTAGCATGCTAGAATATGTTAGAACATTCTGTACTATGTGCTACAGAAAAATAGAGGATGATCAGGGAAGAAATGTGGGGAGGTTGGAATTTTAATTTGAAGATACTTGAACAAGGAGTTGAAGGAGGTGGGGAAATTATCCATGTGGGTTTCTAGGAGAAGAATGCATCAGACAAAGGGTAAGAGACTGTGGAAAGATCCTGAGGTAGAAGTAGGACTGGCATGTAACATACAATAGCACAGAGAGCTTTTTAGCTGGGTCAAGGAAAGGCGGAAGAGGGTAAAGAGTAACATGAGGCTGGATCATTATTCTAATGAGTGAAACAGGGTGCCACTGGAGGGTTTTAATTAAAAAGGGTGTGATATGATCTGACTTATATTTTAAAATGACAGCTCTGTTCCTTGTGAACAGATTGTTGGAGGCAAGAAAGCCCAGTTATAGTAGATGGGCTGCAGTAGTCTTGAGGGAGATTATGGTGACTCAGATTGGGTTGGTAGCAAAGGAGGTATGAGAGATTCCAGACATGCTTTGGAGTTTGAATTGGACACGATTTCCTGGTGAATTGGAAGTAGAGTGTGAATCATAAATAACATTATAATTTTTGGTCCAAGCATTTGACCACTGGGGTTGGGTATGTTCAGATGATGAGAATATGATATGGTCAAATTAAAAATTTGTGATTATATATATATATTTTGCATTTTATTGGAAGAATAAAAATGTCTTGCCAGGCGCGATGGCATACCCACGGTGGTACGCTCCTGTAATCCCAGCGGCTTGGGAGGCTGAGTCAGGAGAATCACAAGTTCAAAGCCAGCCTCAGTAACTGGGAGGCACTAAGCAACTCAGTTAGACCCTTTCTCTAAATAAAATACAAAATAAGACTGGGGATGTGGCTCAGTGGTTGAGTACCCCCGAGTTCAATCCCCAGTACCAAAAAAAAAAAAAAAAGTCTTTTCTGGAGGATGCAGAAATACTAGGTAAATACTAGGAAACTGTATAACCCAAGATCAGTTTGAAGAGTCTGTGGAGGGATGTCTAAAGGGTGAGTTCCATGAAACTGCAGCAGTAAAGAAGTGAGGTTTTCATATCTGGACTCTAAGAAGGATTTGCCTTGCAGCCTGTTTGATGGTGTGCCAGGAGATTCTTATGTCCAGAGCAGTTTTGCTCGGGTTGGGGGACAGAAAGCAGGGAGTTGAGCAGCTGAGTCAGGGAGTGAGGCCGTTTCTGCTGACACAGTGGGCTCTGGCTTCTCTGGTTTCCCCATTTTATTATCTGTAATTCCCTGTTTGTCAGCTTTTCATCGTGTTGACAAAAATACCTAATAAGAACAAGAACAACGTAGAGGAGGAACAGTTTATTCTGGGCTCATGGTTTCAGAAGATTAGTCTGACTCCAGAGGTTGGCAGACTCCATTGCTTCAGGCTAGCTTGCATTTTTGGCTTTCAGGCCCTTAAGGACTAATAGGATGTCTGCGTGAGGGTAAGTCTGCTTTACCTGCCAATCTTATCTTCACTGCTGTGGGAAAGGCCTGTTCTGCTGCTAGGAGTTGGAGAAGCAAAGGTGAACTGCCCTAAACAGCATTAGCTACTCTCCCTTTTGTAACTGAAATGCTG